CGGACTCAAAAACTCTGGCGCCACCTATACTAGGATGGTGGCCAAAATCTTCAGAGCGGTCCTTGGCCGGACGATGGAGGCATACGTCGACGACATGATCGTCAAGAGCAGGCAGGCCACCTCCCACGCCGACGACCTCCGGGAAATCTTTGAAATCATGAAGGAGTTCAGGCTCCGCCTTAACCCCAAGAAGTGCGCCTTCGGCGTCCAGGGCGGCAAGTTCCTTGGCTACATGGTCAGCCGGAGAGGCATCGAGATAAACCCGGAGAAGACGCAGGCTATCATCAGCATGGAGCCGCCCCGAAACGTCAAGGAGGTACAAAGACTGACGGGGCGCCTGGCGGCCTTGAACCGATTCCTCTCCAGGTCAGCTGAGAGGGCACTCCCCTTCTTCCAGATCATGCGCAAGGCAAACAGCTTCAAGTGGACGACGGAGTGCCAAGAAGCATTCGACGAATTGAAAAGGTACCTGTCGTCCCCACCTGTACTCTCCAAGCCCAAAGCCGGCGAAACCCTCTTCCTGTACTTAGGGGTGAGCACGTCGGCCATCAGCTCTGTGCTCATCCGTGAGGACGGAGGGGTGCAGAAGGCCATCTTCTATATCAGCAAGACACTTAGGGAGGCCGAGCTCAGGTACTCCCCCATTGAGAAGACGGTGCTGGCCATCGTCCACACCGTGAAGAAGCTGGGGCACTATTTCCAAGCCCACACCGTCCATGTGCTGACCCAGCAGCCTCTCGGCGCGCTCATGAGGAGCCCCATCAGCTCCTCGAGGATGGTGAAATGGGCGATCTTCCTCAGTCAGTTTCAAATTGAGATCAAGCCAAGGCCATCTATCAAAGGGCAAGCCTTGGCCGACTTCGTCATCGAATGCACAGCAAGGGAGACGGCCGTCGCCAACCCCGGGCCGGAGCCGGACGACACGTGGACCCTGTTCACTGACGGCTCGTCGGCCGCGAAATCATGCGGCGGCGGCGTCGTCCTCATATCCCCTGAAGGATTCAGAGCCTACTATGCCATCCGCTTCAACTTCAGGGTGTCCAACAACGAAGCCGAGTATGAGGCCCTCCTCAGCGGTCTCAGACTCGCCGCCGGCCTCAAGGCCAAGCACCTCAGAATCAAGTGCGATTCCAAACTGGTAGTGGGCCAGGTGGAGGGATCGTACGAAGCAAAGGAAGGCCGGATGAAACAGTACAAACAAGCGACGGAGGAACTGCTGAAAGCGTTTGAAACCCATGAGATCACTCAGATCCCAAGGGCCGAGAACGCCGAAGCCGACATCCTCTCCAAGCTCAGCTCGGACACCCCGGAGCACATCTCCCAGTTGGCCAAGATCGAGGAGTTGAGCATGTCCAGTATCCATGCCAGCCCCGTCTTGTGCGTCCACCAGCGACCAGAGGACTGGATCTCCGACATCGCCACCTTCATCACCACGGGGGAGCTGCCCCAGGACGAGGAGAGGGCCAAACTTGCCAAACTCAGGGCCCCAAGCTACACCATAGAAGATGGCAAACTCTACAAACGGTCCTACAATGGCACTCTCCTCCGATGCCTGCACCAGGACGAGGCTGACACCGCCATGGAAGAAGTTCACTGTGGCGTCTGCTCCTCGCACCAGGGTCCTTTCAGCATGTCCCGGCGTCTCGTCGTCCAGGGCTTCTTCTGGCCGACGATGGCACGGGACTGCGCTGACCTGGCCAGGAAGTGCACCACATGCCAGGTACTCCAGAAGGCCCCTGGTCGGCCAGCTGTCAATTATGCCCCTGTCAGCACCGCAATTCCATTCTCCAGATGGGGGATTGACCTGGTCGGCCCCCTGCCCAGAGCCGCCGGGAATAACCGCTACATCATCGTCGCCGTCGACTACTTCACCAAGTGGGTCGAGGCGGAACCCTTGGCCAGCATCATGGGGGCCAGATGCCAAAGATTTGTTTACAAGAACATCATTACACGCTTTGGCGTCCCCCAGGAGATTATATCAGACAACGGCACCCAATTCGAGGCAGCCCCTTTCCAGGAGCTCCTCCGGGAGTTTGGGGTGAGGCACCATTTCTCCTCCGTTGCCTATCCTCAGGGCAACGGGCAGGTCGAGAACGCCAACAGAACAATAATGGAGGGGCTGAAGAAGAACCTCCAGGCCGCAGGAGGTAGTTGGGTCGACGAACTCCCCAACATCCTGTGGTGCTACAGAACCACGCCGAGGAGGGCGACAGGTGAAACACCTTTCGCCCTGTGCTACGGCTTTGAGGCGAAGGCGCCCACGGAGGTAGCCATCCCCAGCCGACGAGTGGAGCAATATGAGCCTGACACCAACGAAGAGAACATGAAGATTGACCTACACCTGGTTGATGAGAGACGTGAGCAAGCTTACGTCCGAGCAGAGAACTACCGGCGTCAAGTGAAATCATACTATGACGCCAAGGTACGTTCCCAGGAATTTCAGGTGGGGGACTACGTCCTCCGCCGAAGGGAAGCAAGCCAGCCGACAGAGGGCGGCAAGCTAGCATTGAAGTACGAAGGGCCCTACATCGTCAGTGCCGTGGTCAAACCCGGCACCTACAAACTTAAACGACCGAATGGGTCCAGTGTACCACGAACATGGAATGTACATCACCTGGTGAAGTTTTATCAGTAATCCGAAGGAGGTGTAGACGGCGAAGCCCTCACCCCTTAACGGGTTACTGATTGAACGCCACCCTCGGCCTCGAGCCACTTATGAATAAAATCATGTTCTGATTTTTTCTTTGGAAATTAAAGTAAAACATTAGCAGGTGCCCTCGTCGGCCACCTTAGAGCGAAAGGCTCAGGTCTGGCCGACATGGCCCCTTGCATTTGCAGCCTACGAGCGACAAGCTCAGGCACTCCATTGTATTTTGTATCAGCGAAGGGCTCAGGCCTAGCTGAGAGAGCACATCGTCCTGGCCCCGTAAGCCTAGAAGTGAAACGCTCAGGCATGGCCGACGATGTCCCCAGGACGAGGGGCCCGCAAACGGCCCACGTCTTGAAACGGGAAGCTCACTGCGTCGTCCACACGCCAGATCGCAGGACGACAGGCCTGAAATCATGGCCGAGGTGAAAAAATCCCAAAACTCAGGGATGGGCAACGACAGCCGTTGGAAACCGACCAAAAGTCTAGCCCGCGTCATAAATAGGCGACGGGACCCGCCCTGAGACCACGGACGTTATAAACGAAGTTCGAACCGGCCGAAGGACGAGCACACCCTTCGGCCGAAGCCTGAAAGAAGGATACCCCCGAAACAAAAAAGAAAAAAAAAAGAAAAAAAAAATATACAAGGGAAAAAGAGGGAAGCCGACGGCCGCGCACACTTGCCGGCCTCCAGCAATGAAAAAATAAAATCCCCACAATTCAGGCCCATTTTGGCCAAGTACATATCAGTTGAACACAAGTGTAGTACCACTGACAGGTAACAAGGACGACACGTCCACACACTACAAGGGAACAATCAAGGCCGAAACACGTGCCTACAAAATCCTAACCACATCGGTTGGGTGACAAGCGAAAGGTGACCTTCATCGGCCATAGTCCTTTGAGGCACCAACGCTTGGTATGAAACAAAGCATCGCAAACCGGAGGATGACCGGGACGAAGCGGGCACTTATCACACCCGCGAAAGGATCAAGTAATCAAGATGCAACCTCTACTTGCCACCGCACCTCGGACAGCCGACGCAGGCACTGGAACCATGACTAGCCGACGAAGGCAGGACCATCTCCTTGGACAAGCTATTCCTTATCCAGCGCCCTCATCGGCCACAAGCCAGACCTTGGCCGGCAGTGGCATCGCGAAGAAGTAAATGCCTAACATTCATACTTAGGAAATTCTCTAAGTACTAAAAGGGAGGAATTCTAGCCGAAGCGGGTACCAGTATACTATAAAGCCGTTAGCCACCTACACCTTCACATGTGTACTTGTGAAAAATTCAGTCCACGAGACTATGGTGAAGGTGCCCTTATCGACCAGAACACAGGGATACAAGCCGACAACGGCCATGGCCAGATGTATCCAAGGCCAGGACGATGAGGATGCCAATGATTGGACGGAACGGACACTACGGTCAAGGCTAAAAACGGAAGCACCTAAAAGGAATCCAAAACACTTAGGAAATTTTTGAAAAAAAATCCTAAGTGTTATGATGGCAAAGGAACACCGGTCAAGCCGACAAGGCCACCAGGCCGAAAGGAAAGCACCTAAGGGGATCCCAAAACACTTAGAAAATTTTTTGGAGAAATTCCTAAGTATTATGGAACTACGTCCAAGCCGATCAAGCCACTAGGCCGTAAAGACAGCAACTACATGAAACCAAAAACACTTAGGAAAATTTTGATACGAAATCCTAAGTGTTATGACAGTAAAGCAAAGAGGCATAGGCCGACCAGACTACAGGACGGGAAGGCCAACCTCACGGACGTAGCGGACACTCGCGGGTGACCCCAGTTATGACAAGCCGGGGACGGGAAGTGAAATGACAAAGCAAACAATCACACAAAGGATTCAAGGCCGAAAAGGACAGCAAAAATTTCTTCAATTGATAAAATTCATTACAATTGGGGGGCACTACGGCCATTACATAATTGAGCAACAAATGAAAAGCTAACTACAATAGGGACTAGCCGATCAAGCCTCCGGGGCTGGCTCTTCAACCTCGTCGGCCCCCTCCTCATCGGCCTCAGCTTCCTGGCCGGCAGCGGCGCTGGTGGCATCATCCAAGAAATCGAACTCAGTATAGTCCGGCTCGCCGAGGCCGGAGCTTTCTATGGGGGACTCCCGCTCCGACAGCGGAAGCGTGGCCTGCCCTTCGGGATCCTTCATCAGCTTTGGGAGCTTCAGGTTCCGTCTAGCCCATCCAGCCGTGTAATTCATGGCCTTCAACGCCCGGGATAGCCGCCGGTACAGGAGAATTTGCATCCGCTCCTGGCCCAGGTTGTAGTAAACAGACATCTCCTGGCTGAAATACTCCCGGCCGGCAGGGGAGTTCATCCCCCAATTCTCCAGCCTGGCGGCCACCACCTCGTAGCACCAAGGGAGCCTCTCATCGGCCTTCCACCCTTCGGCCAAGAACTTCTCAACAGCCTCATCGGCAGCCTTCACGACGGCGGCCTCGGCCTCAGCTTTCGCCTTGGCGGCCTCCTCGCTCCTGCGCTTCTCGGCCTCAAGCGCTCTCCGGGACTCTGCGAGCTCCCTTTTGCTCTCTTCGAGCTGGACCAGGGCAACGTCCCTGGCCGCAACGGCCTCATCAGCTTTGGCCTGCAGCGCCTTGGCATCCTCCCGAAGCCGGTCAAGGCAAGCTACCACCTCGTCGGCCGAGGTGGCCTTCTGCTCCAGCGCTTGCAGGCGGGCAATCTCCCAGTACTGCCTCTTGTGGCTTTCCATAAGCATGAAGGCACTCTGCATAAGAAAAACAAAGGTCAGGCAAAGAAACTCTACATAGACGAAGAGAGACAAGAATATAAGGACAGTCACTTACTTGGACGAGGAGATCCATGCCGCCCTCATAAATCTTCGGGTCCTCGATCTTCTTCAAATGAGCCCGATCTTTGGCCGGCATGGCCTTGGCCAGGACGGTGTGACCGGGGACGAGCTCATTAAACACGCCCCCGCCGACGGGGTACTCTATCACTTTCTGATAGGTGTCACCGGCGGTCTCCTTGCCGGCCCTCTGCGTCCGTGGCTCCTGGACGAGAGGCAGCGCCGGGGCGGCATCACCAGCAACAGTAAGGTCCACGACGGGACCACCATCGCCCACGCTGGGGACAGTAAGCGTACCGGCCTCACTAGCCGGAGAAGGGGAAGGGGCCCTCTTCGTCTTCTTAGAGACGCTCACGCCGGCCTCGGTCAACTTTTTCTGGCCGTCAGTGGCCGGTCTCTTTTTCTTGGACGGGGCAGGCTTTGGGGCCGCGTCAGCAGTAGCCCCGCTCCCACCAGCAGCGGCACGACGGGCCGCCTCGGCCGCCTTAGCAGCCAGCTCTTCGGCCGCCTTGGCTTTAGCAACGGCCATTATGTAACGCCGGTCCATGACAAAGTCTACAAAGGAAAAACAAACAGATTAGTAAGGCAAAGGACAAAACGTAAAGACAGAAAGCCGAAGAAAAATTACCATCGGCCTCAGCAGGAATGCCCAAATCCGGGCCATCGGCCTCTTCAAAGGTGGTGGTCATCCTCGGCCAGAGTTGGAGGTCATCCTCCTTATCTCCATACAAGTGATATCTGAAGAAGCCGAGGGCCGTCATCTTGTATTCAGTGACGTAATCTTTCACGCTCCTCGGCCCCCCTTCCAGGAAAGCCTCCACCTGAGCGTCCAAAATAGAGCTCTTCGGCGGGTCATGAAGATTGAACCTCCCGGTATGGCCGAGGGAGGGGAACTCGGTGCCACTCTCACCAATGGACACAAACACGAACTTGCTCTTCCACCCATGAATGGACGTAGGCAAATCCGTGAAGCTCCTCTTCCTCAGCAGCTGTTGAAGAGTAGCATAGGCCGCACAGTTCTTGTGGCTTCCTCGGCCGATTTGGTACAAGTTCATGAATAAGGCCGTGGTCGGCCTGTAGCCCAACTCCTCACACCGAAGCAAGAAGCCCACTATCAAGGAATAACTGTTCGGCGTCAGCAAGGCCGGAGGAAGCCCCACCATGTCCAGATACTCAGTGACGAAAGGGTGAAGGGGGAACCTCAACCCCTTAGCAAAACTCATCGGGTATACTCCGAAGTATCCCGGTGGCGGAAGTAGAACATGGTCCGTCGGCCTGGGTGCCCTAACCCGCCCGAACGGCCCCACGTACATCTGGGCGACAAGATAGTCGGCCGCACTGCTCTCCGGCCTGATCAGGAATATGTTGGTGAGGTCCAAGTAGGAGAGGCCCGGCCCATTCTTCGGCCTCCTCACCCTCTTCGGCTTAGCGTCGCCCTTCACGGCAGATACCGGCCTCGGGCACGGAACGGCAGCAGAAGTGGACGCCCCGTCCACCGCTCGGGACGCGCCTACGTCCTCACCCTCTGAAGAGGAGGCGGACTCCTCGTCCTCGATCTCCTCGTCCATCAGCTCTCCGGATTTGTAGGGGCTCAAACGCTCTATCTCCTCTTCAAACTCCTCGAGCACCTCGTAGTCAAGGGACCTCGTGGAGGGCTGGTCGTCGTAGGGGTAGTAGTCCTCGTTCAAGCTCTTCATTACTACTTTTACGGACTTAAGGAGAACAACTTACGATCTAAAGGTGTTTAAACGCCTAACACTAGATCAACTACTTACGGAGCAAAATATGAAAAGTGAGGAAGATCGTGATGAACACTAACCTCAAACAACGAAGAACACGAAGAACAGGCTTGGGAGTTTATCTCTCTAGAAAATCGGCCAGCACTTCGACAAATTCAGAATGCAAATGTGATTCCTCGTCGGAGGGGAAGGGGTATTTATAGACCCCCCCCCCCACCAACGGTCACTACACGTGGCACTCTCCCAATGGCCACATCAACGGCCACCACTGGGAGGCAACCACGTCACCAACGGGCCAGGACCAACCCATATCAACGGCCCACAGACAAATCAGACTCTACGGCCTACACACGCTCAGCGGCTTTACAACTGCCAGCAAGCGCCCACAACGTCCCACTTGCTCACCAATATCACAAATGCCAAACAATAAGAGGAAGGCAACGGCCAGGAACGTAACGGCCACAGAACAAAGGGGACAAATAGCCCACAGCCTTCGGCTCCTCGTAATAACCCTTGATGATAACTCTCTACAAGCGATCTGTGCACAAGGGTTCTCCCACAGGGTTACCTTGGCCAGAAAATCGCCATGAGAGTTGGATTCAGGGGGACTACGGCGAGACCGCTTCGGCCAGGGACTCAAACAACTCCTTCACCCCTCACACTCTTCGGCCTGAAGCAGTGGGGGACTGGGGGACTACACCGGCCTCAACAAAACAAAAGAGTGCGAATAAGTTAACCACAAAGCATGGCCACATCATCCATACAGCACAACAGAACTTCATCGGCCAAAGGCCCATAACGTCACTAGCAACGGTCAACAAGCCACTAGAGGCAAGGACACTCATCGTCCTCCGCCAACAATAAATCTTGACGGGCTCTTCGGCCAAAAACACGAAGGCCAACCAGCAACGGCCAAAAGGAGCGCGCAAACACCCTCATCGGCCACACAAAGGAAATGAGGCCATTGTCCTCAAAGCAAGGAACAACCTCAAACGGCTTCACCGGCCCAAGCATAAGCTTCAAACCACCAACGTCCTGGAAAGGGAAAGCGCGCCTTCAACGGCCACCATTGAAAGAAGGACACTAATCGTCCCAAAACAAAGTAAGGAAACAACGGCCTCCCCGCCCACAACGAGGAACAGGTAACGGCCAAAGCAGAGAACAGGATCACCAAAGAGGAAACAACGCCAACGCCGCAACGGCTAACAGCCTGGGAATGCCCGCGTCGGCCAAAAGCAACAAAGCACAGGAATCTACTCTCCACTTCATCTACGTCTCAGCTTAGAGAGTGGGGGACTCCTGATGGAGTATATGGGTCTGAGCCCCGGGACCCACATACTCGGAAGAACGGAGCACAAGACAACAGAGTGGCGCCCTCGTCGGCCATGACGCCCCCGTCGGCCGAAAAGGTGCCAACTCAGATTACGGTCCTGAGTTTGAGGGACTCGGGTGCCCTCGTCGGCCGCGCCCTCGTCGGCCGTGCCCTCGTCGGCCACGCCCTCGTCGGCCTCGAAGACCTCCCAGAATCGGATCCTATACTTACTCATTTGTACAGCCCATTAGTGGCTCTGTATTCGGCCCAGTAGCGGTCCAGTTGTAAATGGGCCTCCCAAGCCCAAGGCTTGGGAGCCCAACCCTAATTTTCTCTATAAATACTCCCCTTGGGAGTAGTTATAGGGGTTACGAAATCATTCTATTGAAGCATATTATTGCACTTCTCTCTCTAGCTCTCACTTCTCTCTAGAATCTAGGAGTTAATACTCTATCAATTTCCTCTTCCCAAAGTCTCATAGGAAGGTTAGGGAATTGCACCCAAATGGGCAGTTTTAGGAACTCCTCACTATCCATAGAGAAATCATCCGAAAGAGGTTTCAAGGGAAAAGATTTCCCTAAGATAGTATAGGGTCCTTCCATTAGGACTTTAGACCTATCCTCCTCATTTTTAAACTTAAAAATGAACCATCCTTTATCATGGGACCGTGCTTGGCAAGGAACATTCCATTTACTAATCATCTCATGGATGAGTTTGAATCCGGGGAAACGCCCATCAAAGTAGGCAACAAGGCAAAAACCCCATAAATCAACCATAAAGGTTAATTTCCGAGAGGAGAGGTCCACAAAATCACCAACCGGGGCAATGTACTTTAATTTCATTCCCTTCTCCACTTTCCTATTATCCTTGAAAAGGGAGTTCCAAGGTTTGGGATTAGTCTCGGCAGAAGTACCAATACCTTTCCCATGTTTCAATGCCGCGGCATAAGAGGGATGGAGAGTAGGTTCCTTGTCACTTAATGCCGCGGCATAACGTATCATAGCATTGTTATCACTCAAGCTTTGTTCCACAATAGTATCAATCACATCCGAAGTCCCATTCTTATCAAGAATAGGAGAAATAGTAGCATCCGAGCCATTAGAGTGCTCATGTTGTTCATTAATAACCACGTGAGAGTTTTCACCCAAAAGGGGGGTAACACCATCAATGTTACCACCCTCCCTCATACAAGCATTAATTTCTCCCACACACTCAATACTAGCAATTAAGGCATTTTCAACAATCCCCTTTTTAGGAGCATTAATGTCAACATTTTCAACAATCTCCTTTAAAGGAGGATTAGTTTCAACGGATTCACCAAGGATAGGAGAGGAGGTTACCTCGGGGGAGCTTTCCTTAGAGGATTTTGAAGCCTCGTCCGAGCTAGGAGACGGGAGGCTGACCTTAGAAACATGTTCCAAGTTGACATTTAAGCTAGACCCCGAGGCTTGGGAGTCCATATCATCCCCTTGAGCAACTATAGTTCCTTCACTTGAATGCGTGGTATCCGAAGCTTCATCCCCAAACTCCAAAGATTGAGCTTTGGCTTTGAGTCTAGCCGAGGACTTTAGGGGGACCGGAGTCCTCTTCTTCTTGTTGCTCTTCTTCTTAGGCATGAGAAAGGAGGAGGAGATTTAGGAACTTCCACCCCAAAACTCACATAGGAAGCGTCCGTACCAATGGCGGATTTATGACCGTTAGAGGAGGTACGGAAAAAACCAAACCTTGATGGATGATGAAAAAAAGTTGAGAAAGTTAATCAGCAACACAAGGGGAACCCAGAACAAGTATCCAACCAAAGAATGGTCAAGCCAATCAATGGGAAACTTCGTTGACCTTCCCGGATGAATAGTACCGCGAAGAGGAGGATAGCGAACCAGGTCCAAAAAACATGAAAACCGAGCTCAAAATTTAGAGAATCTGCACCCCAAAGAAGATTGAAGTGTAGAGTAGCTAAAATCTGAGCTAAGAAAGCATGAATCAGAGGGAGCGGAAGAAGAAAAACGCAAGAAACCGAAGGGGAAGTTTTACGAATAGCTGGGAGCTAGAGAGAGGCTCTCTCAAACGTAAAACTTGCTTCAGTTAGGCTCGGGTTTCAAAATTCAGGCGCTGGTTTCAAAATATCAAGGGATGATTGCCTAAGTACTAAAACACACTGTATTTACGCTAAAAGTGCTCTATTTTCGCTGAAAACGCTAAATCATAGAGATAAGGCTAAGTATTTGTGACACTCATATCTTGCTGTGTGTTTATCCGTTTAAAGCGTATTATATCTCGTTGGAAGGATAGATCGGAGCTCTTAATTTATTGTTCCAACTTCATTTACAATGCATTAATTTAAAGTTACATATTAACCATATATTCACAAATGTTTCTGATTTCACTCCGAACTCG